CTTGATAATTTTAAGTAAATATATCAAGTATGTATGTATATGAATATATACTTACCTTATGTCCACACTTATGTATACAAGGACGTGCTTGACATTTAAAATATACAAACTGTGAGGATGTAAATTGAAAACCATACATGAAAATGAATATATGCTTAGCGCTACCATCAGTGGGATTAGTAACATGCACAGGATACTCAATAGCTCGTGGTAAAGCTACAGCACATCTGGCAGAAATGCAATTTTGATGAAAAATGAACGAAACAAAAGTATAATAATTCAAATTCGTTTAACTAATCATCAAAACTCTTCGAAGTTAAGATGCAGTCTCTTCGTTAATAATCAAATTGTGAAAATGCAAACTGAGCCATAATAATTATACTTTAAATTAAAATATTGAACATTTGTTGACTGATTAATAATACTTTGTCTTGTAAAGTCTGCGCAGACGAGATAAATTAGCAGAAATGTAATAATGTGCAATGAATGCTAAAATCTAATCCATGCTAGGTTTTATTTTAATAAAAATAGACCAATTTTATGCGCATATTCACTGTCTCGAAAATGCATTATCATCATTCATTATTCTATTTTATTGATATAAATGATTTAGTAATTTATCTTATTAATATTATTATTAATTATTATTAAAGTTGATTTTTGCTTACTATAATTTTTGCATTTTATGAGCTATATAATCGTTTATTGCCAATTATCGAATAATTAAATAGTTCTTACTAATTAACTCACCCATTCACGTCGATGACTCGCACAGATGCATCAGCGCTGTTACTGCCATCATGAGCTATGCAAGAATACACGTAAAAGTCGTAAATTGCTGCAAAGGTATAGATATTTTATTTTTTATGTTTGTGTTTTACAGTTTCAGACTTTTAGTAATGCATTACAATCATATTAAGATATATTCTAATTAGCAATATTTAATATTTGTAGGAATAAGCTAAGTTGCTGTGATTTACCTTCAGACTTCTATCAAAATAAAAGTAAGTATACAAAGATTATTTGACATCACAAATTTAGTTATGAAACGGAAAACTTAAAGCTCCTAAGTTTTTTCGGTCGGTTTAAGCTGAATTTATCGATAACTAATTATTTTCATAATAACTTGAATGGTTGCTAATTATATCGTCATAATCCATTGTGCTGGCATAAAAATACAAGAATGAAAAGCAGAAAAATTTTTGAAATTATAAACTGAGCAATCAGCGAGAGCTAATTAAACTTGACAAACCTGTATCTCTGAGGACTATGTCAAGGGTCAATTTTTGTCCAACACTAGCATGTGTAACAGCTCTACCCCTAATTCCGTGTCCGTCCAAAATTTGAATCTGTATTGTTGGTGTGCCACCATTGCCTGTTACAATACCTGCACGTTCTTCCAGTCCACTCAAATTTTAGCATTTATTTTTGATTTGAACAAAATTCTATCTCCTCTTTAATTTTTAATGAATGAAGAATTATTTTTTTCTGATTCCATGCGTCCTGAATACACAAAAAATTGCCTAAAAACTACGAAAACTATCAGTAATTATTAAAATTTGTTTTAGAAATGACTAGTTTTCAGAATAATCATTTAAATCTTTAGAATTTCAAACATCTTTCCAAGCAATTTATAATCAAAATACTATAAATTCTGCTAAAATGTATATCATAACAGTTATCAAATCACTTATAATTAGTAATTTTTTATCATAAAACCGAATTACTTAATATTTCTTACTCAACTTTTTGTTTTCATTTGTAGTAGAAAAAGTCATTTTTAGAAAGTAGTGGGATTGATTTTCTTATGATGAAGATATGTAAGGTGTAAGAATCATTAATAAAATTAGAGGTAGACTACTGCATTTATGACAGTAATTGTAAGACGTGATAAATTTTCGTTTTACGGGGTACTTACGCTTGAAATATGAAAAGTAAAAGTGGATTTAGTAAAATGATTAATTTGACTTTTTCAATATAAATATCAAAAACCATTTGATAATTTTTCTTTTCATAGCTTACAACTAAATTAATAAGCCATTATTGAATGGCTTATCAATTTAATTCTAAAAAATAATTCTTTTAAAATTCTTTTTTTCTAAAAATAATTATTTTATTTTAATTGCTTTTAATTATTTTATAGCAGACAAATAGCGAAATGATATCACACTAAGCAGTAACAAAAGTTGTAGGAAGAAAATAGAAACTAACACTAGTCGCAAACCAGCCATAGTGATGGTAATATCATTAATCGCGTATAAACAACGAACTTGTAACCCCATGACCCCGTCTACTAAGATATGTTTCATCGGACTAATAATGAGCAAGCAAGTCACTTCACCTGTTCTCTGCAATTGATATCACTAAATTTCAATATCAATTTTTTTCTATTGTTTTAAAAATTTTGAATGGAAAGTTTTAAAAGATTTCTGTTTGTAAACAAATTATTCAGTGGCTAAGCTTATTATGAGGTTTATTTGCTTACCTCCTCAACTGTCGTACCACAAGCTGATTGTTCATTTGATCCTAATATAGGTATGCTAAAGTTCATTTGTTTTTTTTGATCTCCTTCCCACCGACAAGCACTTATATTATAAGCTTGATCAACAAAGATAGTACCATTAAATGCTTCTTCAAATTGCAACTTTACGTCCATTCGATCACTTTGACAACTCACTTCATGACCTAGATTAATAGCTAGTTTCACGTACAAATTTTAAAAAATCTCTTAAGAATTCAAAGCTTACTTTAAAAGTTGAAAAATAAACTGTTATTTTTCTTTAAAAAGCAGGTTAGTGCTCTGCATGTAAAACAACATGGTACAGAATTGCTGCATGATGATACCAAATATTATAAAGTATATAATAAAAGTGATATATATTAAAATATGGATATGTGATTTAGAAATATGATTTCAGTATATTAAAGAATAAAAATCTATCTAATTTTTCTTACTGAATATAGCCTTAAAAAAGATTTGTCTACATCTGTTTATCACATACAATAAACTGGTTTATTGCATAAATTCATATTTTCTCTCTAAAATTTTTTAATATTTTATAAAGCTCAATAAAAAGTCATTTGTTATAAGCAATAATTCCATAAAGTAACTAAAAACGAAAAAAGAAATCAAATGCATAAAATTCTTACTTCTGAGTAAATTTTCGCTCTGCATACACCGTAGAATTATTACAAATAGAAACTGATTCACTTTAAAGATTGTCCGAATCATTTGAATTCAAATCATTTCAGATGTAGTACGATAAAAAAAATAACTGAAACAATTCGAAGATAAGAATTAGTAATTTAATTTGTTTATATACTCGTAAAGCATTAATTTTTGGCACTGAATAAATTTATGCTCATAAAGTTTAGCATTAATCTTAATGTGTTTATTATTAAATTCATTGGAAATCTTGTATTTTGTTTAAGCACTTTTAAAAGTAATAAACTTAGAAATTGAAAATTGCTTAGATATTAACCAATTTCATTCTTTACTATCAAAACAATCTAATAGAAAACGTGAGAAGAAATACCAACTAAGTTAAAAACAATGTCACGTAATTAGTAACTGAACTGATATAATATTATATTACTATGAAAATATTTGCAAAAAATATACTCAGAAAGGAATAGAATAAAAATATGTGACGAAAATGTATAAGTAAGAAATGAATTTTCCAGGTGAAGATTATTATCCTTGACAGTAACCTTCGATGTCATCAATCTTTCTAATTACCACTTTATAACACCCACTACAACTACACCAACAATTATTTTCATTATATATGTCATTCCATTATATTTGGGAGTTTTCAGTTTCAGAATCAATCTTTGGGTAATTATCAAATTTTCAAAATAATGATCAAAGTCCTGGTCAAAATTTTCTTAGAATGGCTCTTTTCAAAAGAAAATATAAATGGTAATAAAAATAATATTCACAAATTCTTCTCAGTGATAGGAAGATTCAAGTTTTTTTTCAAGTTTGTATTTTCGAGATTTAGATAGATTTAATGACATAAGTGCTACACCACATTTCACTCTCCTTTTCATCTTACATGCATTATAATAATTCTTCATAATTGTATTTTAGCAAATATTTGGTAATTTTATATCATTATAATTAGAATTTAGGGAAGAAAAATCAATCTGCTAAAGCTGTTTTCAATAATTTTAAGTTGTAGTTGCATCATAAGAAATACTCATTCGTTAGCTTATCTTTATTGAATACATTAACAGTTTCTAGCAACAATAGTTGAGATACATAAACATATTTCTTGATCATACTTTTCAATTACAAATAATAATTCATGATGCACAAAATTTTAAACTAATCAATGAAATTTAAAAACATGAACAACATTAGATCAAATGTAAGAGTATATTATAATATGAAATAATTAATACATTACTACGATCTGCGGTCAAGAATGAGAATATTACACAAGATTTCTACAGCTCAAGGAAGATCACAATCAAAAACTTTTTTTTAAAAGCAATTAAACGCATTGAAAAAAGTTATATCTGAAAGATCAAACCACATTATAGGTCAGTTCGAAAAATTCATGCATAAAGCAGCGACAGATCGAATAATGATCAAAGTCCTGGTCAAAATTTTCAAGAAATATGCTTATTTTTACCTAAGACTGTTTGACGATTCTTAATACTATTGTGGTATTCTTTTTTTCTGTAATATTTTATTACTTTCTTGCATGGCAAAATAAACTTACATCGAATATTCATAATCATAGAATAATTCTTGCTTCTTTTGCCCAATTCAGACATCATAGTAAGCTGACCAGCACTAGATTCTGATCAACTGGATTTCAAATATTGTTCAACTCACGACAAATATTATTCCCAATATTTTTAACGTGTTTTGCAATTGCTACTTTATACTATGATAACGAAATCAACATCCTTTACTTCATTAAAAAAACAGATTAAAAATTTTCATCAAAAAACTGAAAAATCAAGGTCTGCAGGAATTAAAAATGTACAGTCAAACGGCTGAAAAGTCAGTAGAAAATAATGTTAACCAAATTTTCAGAACAGCCACTGAAGAGAAAGATCTTCATGACAGCCAAGATTTAAATAACAATTTCGAATTCTCATAACTTACAAAAAGGCACGCAGTAGCCCAAAATGCACGAATTAAAGTAAATGTTAATCCTTTATAAACTGCTCGAATACCTGAAATATTTCATTATCTGATTTAAGAGCTAAGTCACTTGAAGCGGAAGATGAAAAAGACTATTATACATAGCAAGCCAGAAATGAAATAATTTTAGAAAAACTTTAGCACACAAAAATTCTTCGTGGTGATTATAATGCTTCAACTTAATGACTTTCGTAATTTGAATTTCTGAAAATACTCGGGATGACAAATCTCAGTGTACACAGTAATATATGTTGATATTAAAAATACCTTCTTTTCTTATAATTTTGGTCAACATTCTAGTAAAACTTCCCGACCCAGCAATCTGCGTCCGAGATTTCACTACATCTACGGGGTAAATAAGAAACCATAAGCCTACGCCACCAATTCCTCCAGATATCGCTGTTCGTAATATTCCTTAAAAATTGACTTTTTATAATGAAAAATAAAATGCAAAAATTTTTAAAGTATTGAATGATAATGAGAAGGAAAAAAACCGTAAAACAATACTCAAATATTGAAAAAATTTTAGTACAACGTGGAAGCGTAATTTAAGAATCTTTATCATGATTTAGTGAGTTTAAAGTAAAAAATTAACCAATGTCATCTTTCGACTTTCCTTTCGGTGTAAAATAGAATCTAGATAATTCGTATGCGCCGAAAAAAGCAAAGTACCCAGGCATTTCACGACACAGTGTTGCTACCATACCAGTATAGAATCCTCTCAATCCATGCGTTCGATATATTTCACGAGAAATTGAAAAAGGCGTGCTACAAAAGTTATTTGAATGAACCAAAAACTGACAAATGAAAATACTCTTTTATTTTCAAAACAAATCTGATTCAGTGACTACAATAAAATTAACTTGAATCGTAAAAAGTCAAAACTAGCAACTATATTTTGTAAAAAGTGAGAAAAATACAACTAATTTTGAAAGTGAAGAACTGAAAATACAAGAAATTTCAAAATGAAACTAAAATCTGCAGCAATTACTAATTTGAGCTTGGAATAAATGATCGGAAGTGATCATTCATGAAATAATACGAAAATTTTGAACTAAAATGCACTGCTTGCTAAAGAATATATGCTAACATAATTCTTTGATCTTTTTCAGATGATTTCTGTAAACATTTAAAAAGCTCAGATAAATTGTGACCTTTTCGCTTCTGGGAACATTTCTCTTTTAGCTTGCAATTTACATTTTACAAGTTCTGTTGGACAAAGAGCCATAGCCGCAAAAACAGATGCTAACGAACCAGATACTGCATTTTCAACAGGTGTCATCTGTTCCAAACTTGAACGCCCAACGCAAAATGCCACCAGCTATAAACTTGAAGTGATTGAATATATTTAATTGTAATATTTGCTCATATATTGCTCGGCTCTGCCGAGTTGTCGAGAGGTTGAGCTCTTAGCTAGTCGATCGCATCACAAGGCAGAAAATGGAGAAGAAACGAAAAAAAGCCAACCCTGGAATCATAAATGAAAACAAATACAAACGATGTGAGATTCTTGAAAAAGGCTCCTTGAATATCGTGGAAAAGCACTTGACCAGTGTACCGGTCAAGAACCAACAAAACTGAGTGCCGGTCAGCGAGAGTGCCGAAACATGATCCAACGCGAGAATCAAGAAGACAGAAAAAAAGATTAACCACCGACTTGGTACAGATGATATATATATTGTCATGTTAGTTAATTAACACTCCCTTTTCTTGTTTCATGTCGCTTTCTTTCATACAAAATACAAGTGGGCATTACAAGTTTTTAAAAACAGTATTTAATAGAAAGAGATCTTATATATATAAAATAAAATGTGGGTGTTAGTCTTAATTTTCGCTTTATTGGTTCTGGCGCTGGATCCATCCCGCACTCTGGCTGTACTTGTCTCGAGCTCAAATTTGCTGTACTCATCGTTCTCGTGGAATCCATATCGGCTATCGAAGGAGATACTTTCGAGCGTCTTCTTGAGAACTATCGATCGGATGTATGCCTGGACGTGATCTGATGATACTAATCTCCTTCGCATAGCGTTTGTGGAAGTTCGTTACAATACCTCCCAATTCATCACATATGGAATTATTTTGGTCCTCCATTTCATCTCTGACTCAAGCTTATTAGCAAGTAGGTCATATTTTCGCTTTTTCTCAGTCTTCAATGCTGTCAATCTGTCCTGACTAGTGATGCCAACCTCAATCAGAATTACTTCACGTCGCTTCTTGTCGATATCATGATATCCGGTGGATCGGCTTTTATTCAGATTGCAGTTCCCATTCGCGCATCGACTCTGATCTCAACGTCCTCATTTGCGACAACCTCCTAAACAGAATGGCTTCACAAGCGCGGAAATGCTTTCAGACCATACTTCTTGCAGAGTTCCAAGTAGATGCATCGTAGGACCTTATACTATCTTCTAGTATAATCGTAATATAACATTTTTACCGTACTGCATTGCTAGATGGTCCACCGTCTTCACAAATTCCCTGTTGGCGCATATCTTTTTCAGCTTCAAACATATTTTTATCTTGGTTGTTACAGTATTGTGCTTCATCTTACGGGGTAATGTTTCCGTATCGTAGCCATTTTGATAAATCAACTATAGACGAGATTTTATTCATCCGCATCTTGTATAACTTGTCATGGTGGGTTTTCTTTTCTATTTTGCTGTACAAGAACGCCTAATTTGAAACGTGTGACATTTACTCCAGAGTTTATATAAATATTTTGAAGTATATATATATTAATATTTAGAAATGGAAGTTGCATTTATTTTTTTTGCAGCTATTTTGAAAAACTAAAGATTTTTTTGAAATTAGAAGCTACGTCCCTACAAATCAAACACTTTATAATAAAGTATGAATAATAAAATACAACATATGTTTTGCACTAATTCTACTTTAAATATGTTAATATTAATAAGACTAATTGTTAACTTTATAACAAATAATATTAAAATGCTCAACCTTTTTGCAGTAACCATAAGCAGTAAACAAAATAGCATTTTCGGCTACATTTGCTACCAAAGCTGGAACAGTACCTATAATACTTGATATAAAAAACTGTTTAAAACCACTTGAATTAACCTGTATCAAATCTGAAATACATAAAACTGATAATCTATGTCTACATCTTTTTACCGAAGCATATGACTGTTCCATGTTACAATAAAAGTAAATGATGTAGATCACAAATATGCAAATAAAAGACATTTGAAAGCCATTTTATTAAGAAAATTTCTCCTTATTTTATTAGTTGCTTTAAAAAATATCAATAAAATTTCAACCTGCATATAATCCTCGAATACCATCTACTTTTACAGTTTTTTTCATACAAGATATACCAGTTCGGTAAAGATTTGGAAATGTTTGTAATTTCACCTTAACAGTATCTAATGGTTGTCCAGCAATCACGTTCACTACACCTCCTTTAAAACAATTCATTAAACTGAACTCAAGATATAATAATTGTCAGTACACAAAGAAAGAAAAGCATAGAAATTAAAGAAAGCAGCAAAAAAAAA